GTACCGTGAAATCGGCATGAGGTTGAAGGAATTTCCTGAGGAAGACTTGAGGAAAGCCCGGAAGCTCGTTTCCAGTTTCATCAGAGCTGCTGAACAAGTTGAAGAGGTATAATCTAATCTAATCTAACCCCTTTCTTTCTTTCTATAGACTCGTTCAAGTCTCTCTTTCATTCGAATGTGTGTAGAGAATTGAAGAAGCAGCTGAGAAAGGACAACTGGACGAGCTTGTTCTCATGATCATATGGAACCGCCTTGACCTTGCTCGCCGCGATGTAAGATTTGTTCTTTGTCTTTGAATGGTTGGTTTATGTGTTTCCTCTAGATTCATTCTGTGGTCTGTCTTCACTCCTACTCCTATGTTACTGCTGCTTTCAGGATGAGAAAGACGCCATAAGAAGTCTTGATCTTTTATACAGAAGAGTCGAGGTAGGTACTGTCAAGGAACATGTTCAGATCAAATATGGCCTACTCAGACTTTAAAACACAAATTAGAAAGTGAATCTTTATCTTGATTTGCCTTAACTAGACGGAGATCTTAAAACGGCAAGCAAGTCCTGCGATGAAACTGCTCAATGATCTTCTAAACATGCATGATGGCTTTGAAGACAATGCTTGGCTGAAAGACTGCAGAAAACGGATGGCTGAGACATTCCCACGGGAAGACCCCTTCAGTGTTCTAATGCCACCGGGATTCGACATTGATATGGTGCGTCCATTTTTGTTCATTTTTGTCTTTTTACGCCTTTAAACAAAAATGGTAAAGAAACAATCTGATACGCACGCTGTGTTTGCAGCATCAAGGACCGTTGTTGCGACCCCCGGTTGAAACCGACAACACCCTTTTGAGAGTAGACTTTGTAAGAGAAGTGGATGCATTGCTACAGGAAGTGAAAATAGAGGAGGAAGAGGACAAAGGAGAAAGGCTTGATCCTGAAGCTATAGCACTCAAGTTGAAGCAGCAGGAGAAGCAGCGAACCATCCGTCAAGTTGAAGCCATTCTTGATTTGGCCCTTAACTTGAAGTGGTAGGTATGCGCCATACAGTTCTTATTTTGGCATCTAAACTTCCTTCATATATAAAAACAGTCAACAAGAACCCTTAACAAGAAGGTTATCATCCTGGGTTTCACAGAAAAAAAACAAATAAGAAAAAACCTTGGTTGTCACTATGACCACCAGAACGTTTTTATTTACACCAATAAAACAAGACTGGTAAGCAAAGATAATTAAACACTCTCGCTCTCAAACAGCTCCGTCAACCAAACAGGATAACCACGTGAAACGTAAGAATGAGTACGTCACACTTTGAGTAATGAGAAATGCTCCTTTATTTGCACATCTGTTTTTCCACCAAAAGTTTCCAAAAGGTAATTTTATCCAAAGCCAAGCGTATCTCTGTCGATTGAAAACTACAAGACGGCCACGCCATTGGTTTCTGTACAGCTCCAACCAAATAATAGCAAAGATAACATAATTAACCTTATGAAATCCCATACTCTCAATAGCCCATAAAACCACCAGGAGTTTTGCCTCCTCATAAGATTTTTGATTGGCAAAACACCTTCTACTATGCATTAACACACGACCCCATTGGTCCCTAAGTATCCAAGCCCCGCCTACTAACTGTTTCCTTTTTGAAAACAACAAACCGACATTGCATTTTAACCAGTTAACCGGCGGTTTGGTCCAAATGACCACCGAGTGGACAACCTCCAAAACATTTATTTGTTGAACTTTCATCTCGATCTCATGAGCTTCAACCCATTGATCTCTCGCATCGCAAGCTTTCTCTACAACCTCAGGCGCCAAAAATAGTTTTCCTTCAAATAACCATCCATTTCTGTTCTTCCAAATGTACCAGAGTAGCCATGGTATAAGCCTTCGCAACTCAATAGGAATCAAAATGTTCTTGGAAGACTTTAACAGGAAGGAGAAATTTGGATACAAAACCACATCATCAAAACCATTTTCAGTCATCGGTAAGTTT